TATATTCAAATGTACTTGTAATTGCAATTGTAAATGTAGATAGAAACAGTAGGAGGCGCGCGTGTCTGAGAGAAGGGTCGGAAGGAAGGAAGGAGGGAAGGGTGCAAAAACAGCCGATCGAAAGGCGGGGGGGGGGCGTTAATACTGGTTACGTAGATGCGCGTGTGCGGTTATCAACATCATTGTGTCTCTGGCCACATCACGCCATCTGCACCCTGTTTTTCACAGAAAATTAAAGGAATTCTGGCTATTATATTCCCTGTGTTCGGCACTGCGAGTAATCGACGCGAAAGATCTAAAGATATATTATAAAAAAATAGGTTAACACTTTAAAAACAAAGAGGGGATTGCATTTTACATACATTTACGTGTAATGACCATTTTCAATTAGATTACTGTCATGTTGGCAACATGCCTGGAAGGAAATAGGAATCCAACCTCAAGAATATGATAGAGAAACTCAGGGTGGACATCACCTGTTCACGCTCTCCGTAATTTGATTGGCTAAAATTCGGTTATCAGGACCGCACTGTTTGATTACGTGGGGTTGTGTTTGGTTTGTGAAGTCGGCGCTAGATTTACTAGTCGGTTACTCCTAAATACTACGAGATAAGAAAGATTAACAACCGTGGAGGCCATTTTTCATTGATTCAATAATGAATTGCGCAGGTCAGCTGCGTCCTATTTCTGAGACTATATGAAATCAACTTAATTAAAATAGATTTGATATACCAGTACTTAGTATATATGTTAACAGTTTATTTATTTTAGGATGGCAATCAGGAAATAATTGAAAACCTGACATTGACATGTATATCTTTCCATTTTCTTTTATCTATCGACTACTATAGTTTTTGGGAAAATGTATATCTGCAGAAAAATTATATTAAATAATTTATCATATTTATAGCGGATGAGTAAAAAGCGTACAAAAATATCTATATCGACCTGAAATCTGTCATGTATTTGTAGGCTACACTGTAAAGTGACAATGATAGTTTCAGAGATTACAGTATTCCAAAATATCAATGATTCATTTGCAATATTGGTTTATTGGTTCAAAATTTAACTCCAGTAAAGATATCGATCCATTTTCCTTGACCTTTTGACTGCCCATAGCTTTTGAGAAACTATATCTGCGTTAAAGTTATGTCAGAATATCAGATGCATTAAGAACGGCCGCGACCACTGTGTCCTCGTAGATGTATAAATAATATTGTTGCATAAACATGTAGGCTATGTATAGCGGAGGAGTAATAATTAAAATGCTCACCAGGGCTACGACCTGCAATTTGATATCCGGATTATATTTGACGATTATGGTAACAGAGATGCACATGTATAATTATCGCGTGCAAAAATATCATGCCATATTGGAATATAGCACCTGGTGATCGATAAACATGTATTGTATTAGAACAAGGCCTTTATGTAGTAAGTCTTCATTTCAAATCAATGTGACTTTAAATAAAATGTTGATATTTCTTATGAAAATGATATCGCTGATAAGATGTTTAAGGTCAACAGTTTAAAAAGTAGGCTGTTATTTCACGTATTATCTCTGATAAAGATAATCTTTATTGCAATGGAAGCAAAAAAAAAAAAAAATGTTGGTAGAGCTGCGTCGTTTTCTTTAAATTAATTTTTTTATTTATGCTGCAATAGTGGTTTGCCCATCGAGTTTATTTAGGTGGAACATTTTCATGCAGGCTGAAATGATACAATATTTTTACGCGGTTCGTCGTTAAAACATAAAAAGACGCTCACGGTGACATGAGGATAGCTGCAAGGGGCTCCGCCACGAGGACAAGGCCATCACGCGAGGACAAGGCCAACTGTTGAAAAACTGGGTCACCGCGCTCCAGTTTGTTGTCAAAGCAGACGACAGTCGTCTGAGTAACTCGATTCTGGGGCAGACATCTTAGATAAAATTGTTGTTCGTTGACCTATATTTTAAGTTGTACGGCTGTGGCTCCAGTTTGTTGTCAAAGCAGACGACAGTCGTCTGAGTAACTCGATTCTGGGGCAGACATCTTAGATAAAATTGTTGTTCGTTGACCTATATTTTAAGTTGTACGGCTGTGGAATGTTGTTTGCGCCTGCGCCTAATTCCAGCGGATTTGAGGGTTGATCTCGAATACTTCTTTTCCGAACAGTAGACTATTACTTAACACTTTCTGAAATAAAAATGATTTAAAATTAAAGCTTGGAAGTTTGTGAATTCAAAGGGATCTCATGAAGCAGTTATAGTCGAAGTTACAACCTGATGTATAATATTCGAAATGTTTTAAAGAATAATGAAAAGAAAATCGTTTTATTGAAATCTGTTTTATAGAAAATTCAACTTGAACCAGTTATAAAATGACAAGAAATGTCTATTTAAAGGAAAGAATTGACACAAACAAAAGTAAAGTAAAAAATTTATCTGAATATTGAAATCGTGTTTTATTAAAGTTATATGATCCAAAAAGAAAGACAGTGAAGAATTTGTAAAAATTGTGAACTTAACTACCTGAAAAGAATCTGATGGAGCATTTATTGAAGAAATTATCACCCGACGAATAACTGCTAAAATTACACGAAAAAGGTACAAGTAATGAAAGGAGATTGTTTTTAAAAACTCTGCTTAATGTTGCTACAACTTTAACCGGTTATAAGATTAAGGAAAGTATCGATGCAAAGAAAGAAATACTATTACAAAAACACAAAATTAAAAAGTTGAAAAAAGAAACATTCCCATCTTACTGATCGTTAATTTATTTTGTTTTTGTAAGGTTATAAAATCGGTTTCTTCATCAGAGTAAATTTTCATGGTAAATGTATAATTTATATTACTTCACTCTCCTGATTCCCTCATGCATTCATCGTGTATAATTATTATAACAATTAATTTATTTCCGGTGATGTGACGAGTAGCATTTAGTTCAACCAACTAAATCTGATTTCATTTAAATCTACCGATAACGCAAATGACTGTTCAAATGAATAGAATCTTGAAT